AAATACCAGCAGAGCTCCTGCACAGGAATGGTGGGTCTGAAGAAAGAAGTCCTCCACATATCTGGTGGCCTTTGCCTCGTTGCTCTTAATTTTGTAGGCTGCACGGTAAATTGAATACTTGTTCCATGCAATTGGCTGTGAGGACAGCAAGCTGCTCCGATGAGATTCACTTTTAATAATATAGCACTTTGCTATATAAGTAACTTGCAAGTTCTCGGTTTAATGCTTTCTATGTTTTAGCTTGACATGATAGGGATGTAATTTTAAGCTATTGTTTACTGAAGTGGCCTGGCTTGATTTCCTTTTACTGTGGATGGCTGTCTTGAGAATTCATATTTGTTGGGTTTGATGGGTCTTGGTTGTCATGAAACCCTTTGTCCTGGTCAGATCACTGAAGCTACGTGATGTCCCAAGGTGGCTCGGGGGGTGCTTGCTGTGGTGTCCATACAGCTCTCCAGTGAAACGGTGCTAGTGCTGGTGTGATCATACAGGAAAATCACTGCAGGTAGAGATTGTAGGCAGCAGGAGCCTTCCTGGAGACACTCTCCAAAGCTTTTTTCCAGAATCTCTGCAGAAGCTTCTCTGTCAGCTTGGCACAAACAGCACCCCGGGAGTGCTCATCTCCTTCACTGGCTCTGTCAGTGTCTTGTAGACACTGGTGTTCCTCTTGGCTGGCCCTTCAGAGGGGCTGAATGAGACACTTCTCAAAGAGAACACTGAGCCTCTGACGAAGTCTGCATAGGTCTGTGGTGACACGCCTGTCCTCGTGATGTCAAGATTTTTTTTTTCATTAGCTCTTCCCAAACCACATCATTCCCTGCCGATGTCTAAACAGGGATCCCATCTGGTGTTTTCGAGCCTGAAGCAGCAACAATTGCACAGAGGGAATGACCTGTGGGTGGAATAGCTGCTGGAGGGCTGCCATGAGGAGAGCATCCTCTGAACCACAACGCAGTCAAGCTTACCATGACGCTAAGTTACGTTGGAGCAGTTACAGGAACAACTTGCCGCCCAGAGACGACTGCAGAGACTTTCCCAACCAAGTGGGGCTTTCCCCAGAACAGCCCCGGCAGCCGCCCTTCCCTGCCACGCACCACGCGGCAGGGGAGGCAGCAGAACCCATCTCCACGAGTGCTGACCGCCACTCTGGTGATACCAGGAGGATAAAAGAGGCTCTCCGAACGCCTCCCCCAAATCCATCCCGCTCCTTCTAGCCCATTTAACAGCTCTTCCTACGCAGGGTGGTGCTTGGTAGGGATCAGCAGATTACCACCATTGCAAGAGGGGTAGCACCAAGAGAGGTGGTGCTGGGTGCCCTCCCGGGTGCAGCAGTGAGCCTCCAGAGGAGGGTGCCTGCCCAGGCACTGCCACCTGCATGGGGACATCAGCGAGTGGCCAACGGAGGAAGTAACTGTGATGGTAGACACCCACACAAGTGATGATGGTGTCACGCATGAAGAGTGGCGTGGAGGTGTGACGGCTACCGGCAGCAGGGGCAGGTGCTGGTCCTTAGCAGCAACGATGACACTCAGGATTACTGCCAGCAGCACTTCTCGTCATCTTCATCATCGGTGGCAGGTCCCAGCTCCTTCAAATTCCCTTCGCCGTGACTCACACACCAACAGCAATCCCACAGCACGTCCAGAGAAGGTTTGGTTTAGTAACCAGGACGCTTGGGGGTTCAAAGCGCCTCTTTCTGAAGCTGCTGTGGGAGCGAGCAAGCCATGAGACCTTGCATGGAAGAATCACATGTCACAGCAAAAGGCTACTGATCACAAAAAAAGAGCTTCTCTGAAATGAGAAAATACACATAAGGACTATGTGAAAGAATTGGCTTTCCTGGACCCTCTACAAAGCAATTAAACAAGCGATAATAGGTTCATTATATAAAACACTGATACAGAGCTGGGAAGAGAATATGTGGCTACCACACAGTGCAGACCAAACTGAAGATCCTCTAGATATGAGCCCAAATGTATGAAGAGCTTTTCGCTTTCTTGCTCGTGTGGAGCTGAGAAGCAAGCACAGCCTGCCACCGGGAACTAACGGGCAAATTGGACCTCATCACGGCCGAGTAGGAGACAAGCTGAGAGCCTGGGGAGCTCGTGGTGGGAAGATTCAGTCTCTGCACTGGGGCCTTGCAGGGGATCCTACACAGCCTGACGAGGCCGTGTAGTCCCAGACCTCAGTGGTTCTTTTGCTCTTCTCTCCAGGCTGCTACTTTAATGCACTTTGCAAGTCTACATGCATTATTTAAGCTCTCTCCTTTTTTCAAAGACCAGGGAGGTGGTTTGCCTGAGATTATTACTGATATTGAACTGGGGATTCAAATATTTTCTATAATTAACCCGAATGAAGCAATCTTTTGTGTATGCTTCAGTCACAGGAGAGGTGTCGGCGTAGACTGAGGAGGATGTGTATGTTTAAACTGGCTGAACTGTACTTCTATCAGCAAGATGAGTATGAAAATCTCTGCGTGGCACCTAGAGAAGATTACTTAATCTGTTTAGCCTGTTTCAGGGACAGGCTTTGCTGCCGACAGTGCAGCAAAGCGTGGCTGGGGCTGGGATCGCGCAGCTGGGCAGCTGAAAGTGTGCTCAGGTGTTTCCATATTCCACGGGAAGCGAAAGCAGCCTGGGATTTGGAGAACCAAAGTACCACAAAGCCATGTACATTGCTGCTCCTCCTGCAACACCAAGGATTCGGGTCCTGCAGCTGACTTTGCCAACGCACAGCCCACGCGGCCAAATCCCGTGCCTCAGCAGCCACCTCACGCCAGCTGGCTTGTGAACCGCTGCACGCTGAAAAGTCAAAACCTCCAAAAATCGCTTCAGTTGCCCCCAAGCGCTTGTAGATCCAGCTCTAAAAACCTCAGTGCCACACCTGCGGCCTGGCCTCCCAGCCTGAGGTCCTGGCTAGCTGTCCGTGGGTGTGACGGCAGCCCGGCGCTGAAAGACAGAAGAAAATGCAGAGGGATGATCTGCCTAAGCTGCTTATCCCCCATTCTTCCTGAACAGCCCGTGCCTATCGATCCCCAAAAGTGCATTTCTCGGTCCTTCCCTCACCCTGGCAATAAGGAAGGCAGGGCGCTTGGTGCCACCCGTCCCCTCTCCCCAGCGCAAGGGCCATCACCACCAATGCAACCGAGGGTTCAGGTCCAACCTGTTTGAACCACTGCACCAAAACACCGGCATGAACAACTAAATAACCGCCAGCCGCCCGTTCTGCGCAGGCTTCTGTTGCTGAATAAGGCAGAAGCAAGCAGAAAAACACTGGGAAACTCTGCATTCACCCCTTATTTTGGACTGCGAGTCTTTGCTAGTCACACTGCTTCTCCAGGCCTTTTTATTTCAGCTATTCACATTCCACCATGGCAGCTGCGTGTTGAGCCCCCCAAGATACAAAATGGAGGCCCATCACAGCAATTTTATCCCAAAATGTGACAGATGACTGGCCTCGGGGCTCCTGGTGACAGTGCAGTCAGCGGTGCTACCTATATTTCTATATATTCATACAGAAGGGAGTGTAGAAATAGGTAGAAATACCTATTTTATTTATGCACACTTCATACACATATAGATACAGGGGTACACATACTCATGTGTAAAGTTAGATGTAAATATATACCCATAAAGGTGTAGCTATATGTAGGAAATATTCCCTAATAAGATGTAATGAAATGAATAAAAATTTACATGTAAATACGGGGTAATTAAGTAAAACTGCACCTCGGGGAGCTTCAGGGCACCCAGCCTGCTGCAGGCAAGACAGCTAAATTCAGGGTGGGCAGAGCCCGAGCTGGAGACCCCGGGAGGGGTTGGATGGCTGCCGCCAGCCCTCACCTCCCCATGTTACTGGAAAGCGCTAATTAATTCACTCTCCAAGACCCAATTTTGGAGTTTTAGAAAGCAAGCATTCTTTATTACAGCGCTGGACACACAGGGGAGAGCTCCTCCTCCTGTGTGTGCCTGAAGCCAAAATCAACAAGCGTTTCTACTACTGTAATCATACATATTCATTACATTTTTATTGTATTTTTATCATAACTTTTCTGGGATCTTATTAACATATGTTAATGTCTCTTGTGCATGTCTGTTGAAGCCTTCAGGTGGTTGTTGGGGGGAAACTCATTAGCATATATTAATATTTCTTGTGCATGTCTGTTGGAGTCTGTCGTCGGGGGCCTTTGGGTGAAGGCTCGTAGTCTTCTTCACCGTGTCTGCCTAAAATCTGCGCAAACTCACTCCTATGGTCACGTACGCCTTGTCCTTCCAGGCTGCCCTGGTTTGGTTCTGTTGCTAATGTGAGAAACAAGCTCACGTGTATCAAAAAAAAAAAAAAAAGTTTTATTTGGGGACAAAGTCGGCGGAGCGAAGAATACAGCGTTGGGCGCAATGGCGCGTGCTGACCCAACAAGGGCTTCTTTTTATCGAGCAACCAGGAGATTTCATTGGTCAAGCGAAAATAGTGGGTTTTCTCCTCTTTACACCTGCGCCGCTCTTTTCTCTTGGTTTCTCCGAGCCTGGCTCTCTCAGTACTTTCCCACTGCCCTCTGAGGGGTTGGGGTGAAGTCCAGGTTCCTCTTCATCCGGAGTTCTTTGCTTCCCTTTCTGCTGGCTTCCATTCCTCCCCAACCAAGTTCCCCTTTACATGACACCCGCCCGCATCCTCTTGCTTGCCCAACTCCCCACAGTGCCCAACCACATGCCTGCGGTCAAAACACGCTTAACTGTTAGAATTTTAACGACGCTAACTCAATAACAGCTTTAGCCTACCTCAATAAAAGTAATTGTTCCACGGCTTTTAGCGAAAGCAAAATCCTTCTGTTATTTATCACGCTGATTTGCAGCTTTATGTTTCCACAAGGCCGAACTGTCCCCGTTGAGATGATTTACGAGTCCCTCACCCCCCGGTCAGACTGACCGTCCCTCAGCGAAATTCGCCGTCACGGTTCCCGCTCAGCGCTGCCCGCCCGCGGCGGGTCGGCGGGATCCGTGAGGCGGGGCGAGGGGGGGGGCAGCGCGGCCGGGCCCGCCCCTGGCGGCGGCGGCGGCGCGGCCCGGCCATGAGGCTGACGCGGGCGGCCGTGCTGGCGCGAGCCAAGGCCGCTGCGCTCGACGGTGTCCGGCGCCTCAACTGCTGGTGGGCACCGGGCGGGGGGGGGGGGGGGGACGGGGAAACAACGGGGCGCGCCGCGTCTGAGCAGCTCCGGTGGGGACAGGCTGCCGGTAACACACACACACACCCCCTCTCTTTGTTCTCCTCCCGCAGGGGCAGCCGCCTGACCGATGTAAGTACCGCGGAAGCCGCGACGAGCCAGCGAGGACCGGCGGGGGGGGGGGGGGGGGGGGGGATGAGCGGAAAGAAGCCGGAGCCGGGGAGATGGAAGACGCGGAAGGCTGGGGCCAGCGAGCTGCAGTGCTTTTCCGGATTGAGCATCATCTGATACCAAAAAAAAAAAAAAAAAAAAGGGGGGGGGGGGCGGGGTGGGGAGATGTTGTTATTTCCAGAGAGTTCTTGGCAAATCCCTCTGCCAGGGCCTGAGCGGGTCCCTCAGGCCTGCCCCGGGCCTGTTCGGGGCTCTGAGGGGTGCACTCCCGTTAGCAGAGGGGTGTCGGGGGGACGGCGGGATCCACGCCCGCCCGTGGGGGCGGAGGAGCTGCTGACTGCGCTGCCCCTGGCAGCAAACCTCTCCGGTGGTGTTACGCTTGGGTTACGCTGAAGCAGGCTTAAATTGCTGTTCTTGCTTTCATCTCACTTGCTTGTGGTTTAAATTGCTTTTATTTATGTCCTTTTTTTTCTGGGAATGCCAACTCGCTGTTTCCGTCTTTTCCCGCCCAGATATCGATATGCCGGGATTTGCCCAACATCGAGGTGATCACGTTCAGGTGAATGTCATGCCGGCTTCGGAGAGGGTGGGGGGGAATCACCTTTCTCATGCGGCTGTGGCTCGGCCCATGGTTTCTTACCCCCTTTCTGTGGTTGTGTGTCTGAGCTGCCTGGCTCTTCATGCCTGATTTCTCAAGCTGCAGAGACACAGTAAATGGTTATTCTTGTGCTAGCTCCTCTGCACGTATCACTTGGCTACTCAGGAAAATAATCCTGGTTTCGAGAGGTGTTAAAACCTCTTAGGATTGTTGCTCCCTAAGTCCTATTCCGTAGTGTAGATGGGATCTTCTAGGCCTCTGTATGCGGCCAGTTTGCAGAATGCTTGTTGAAATGCTTCATGGATCTCACAAAGCTTTTAATTTCTGTAAGCCTCCCCCGAATACACCCATCTTTCACCTGTCCTGGGGATCCCACGGAGCCAGTGCCGCCTGCAGATTTGAGCTTTTTAGCTTGGGAGTCTTACATGGGTGTCAGTGAGTCTGAAGAACGGCTACAGGAAAGGGTGCAAGGGCGGTGGGTGTTTGGTGGGAAGCAAAGGTTGTCATCTTCAGCAGGAAGGACTGCCTGCTTTTTTAATGCTGTTTAGAAAGATGAAAGGCTATCTTTCTGTTCCATGGAAAGCCGTAGGCCCCTGACCGCTCCTTGCTGTGCTGTGCTGTGCTAGGGCGAGGCTCCTCAGCGAAGCTGTTTCAGGAAAGGGGGCTGGAAAGCAGCTGTGCTGCGGGGGGGCTGTGCTCCTGCCTGGACGGTACAGCGAGGGAGGGATGGGCTCGCTGGTCTCTGATCCTACCATCTGTCTTCAGCGTGAATGGCATCTCAGACCTCGAGCCGCTGAATCAGTGCCAGAATCTGAGTGAACTCTATCTGAGGAAGAACAACATTGCAAGCCTAAATGAGCTCTTCTACCTCAAAAACCTACCCCGGCTGAGGGTCCTGTGGCTGTCTGAAAATCCCTGTTGTGGGTCGGACCCCCACCGCTACCGAATGACGGTGCTGCGTAACCTACCCAGCCTGCAGAAGCTTGATAACCAAGGTGGGTGTTTGCAGGTAAACAGGACAGCCCCGAGCCATGGGCAGGGCAAACTGGAAACCGGCGATGTGTTGGTTCCTCTCTTTAAGGCGTCCTTTGACCCTTCTTTGAGTCAGGATGACTTAGAGGTTGAGCATCCCCTCTGAAAGATCCACCGCTTCTAAGATGTCTTCTCCTTTCCCTTCCCTGCAGTGCCAGACTTAGCACTAGCTGAGAGCGCCTCATTATAGCTGAGACAGTACCACTAATTAGTGTTTTTTTAGAGGGCTCTCCTTTGCTGTGGCAAAACAAAGATTCTGTAATTGGATCTGCTGTTGTAAAAAAAGAAGCAGCTTTTCCATGTGGTAGCAGTAATTTGGTGGCTTTTGGAGCCTTCTCCAGAGACAAGAAGTAACAAAACATGTTTGTGTCCTTCCCTGGTGTCTTTTCCACTCTGAGAGACTGGTGGCAGCTGCCAGTGTTCTCCTGTGCAGATTTTACTGCAGGAAGAGGATGAAAGCAAAAGGCCAGTACAAAGGATGATTTGGGGACCAAACCCCTGCGGTACAGCTCTGCAGCAGCCGCACCTGCCCAGTTACAAACACTGTCTTCCTGGGCTGCTGGAGTTCACTGGGGCAGGCTTTTGGTTTGGCTGTTGCAGCTGTGACAGAGGAAGAACTGTCCCAGGCCCTGGTTGACGGCGAGGAGATCACGGCCCCACCAGCCAGGAGGAGCGTGGAGAACGGCTGCCCCGAGGCCACCGAGTCCAGCGCTGCTGAATCCACGACGGAGACCGAGAGTGAACTGCTGAACTTCAGTCTGGAGGAGACAAAGTGAGGGCTTGCTTGGGACCTGTTAGGATTTCTGGGCTGAACTTGGGTGTAAGCATGAAAGGACCCTGCCGGCCAACCCTGATATTCCACAGGCCAGGCCTGCGGCTGGTGCAAATTCCTGTTGTTCCAGTTACGGTGGTGGAGCTGTGCTGGTTTTATAGCACTGGTGGGTCTGGTTCTGTATCTGCAAAGCAGGCTCTTCTGTAGGTGGGTACTTCCTCTCCAGCGTGTCAGCTGCATGTGCAGAAACGGGTCCTCTCTGAAGTGTGAGCTCCAATCCATTCCTGCTTAGCTCTGCTGCTGTGACACGCTTCAGTGCCTGTCAGCGCTGTGGCACGTGTGGCTCAAGCGCAGTGTTACACGGTCTGCAGTCCCAGCTAGCATCGGGCATGGGAATCTCTCGTCCCAGGTGGAGCTGGGAGCAGGCTCCTCGTGGCAGCATGCTCGCTCATGTTTTAGAGCTGCGAGGCTCTTCCTTCACGTGGGAGTTTTGCTTGGGGTGCTGTGGTCTGTAGGCAGTGGTGGTGTGTGAATGGACGTGCGTTGAGTCCTTCAGCTAGATACTTCTTGCGTGGTTGCCCGTGATTAGGAAGGATTGGCCCGGCAGAGGAAGGTTCTCTCAGCTGCTCAGAATAACATTTTGCTCTTCCTCCCCTTCTTTAGCAAAATTCGAGAGGAGCTTGGTATGAAGCCTGTTCCCAGGGATAAATTTTCCTCCTTTTCACCTCGAGAGACAGACTGCAACCGGAAGAAGAGAGTGAGTATCTTTAAAGACCAAATCGCTTGGCATCTTTAAGACATCATGCAACATAAAGAAAGCCCAGTGGGGTTTGTCCTCTTTGAGCTGTCCGCACGTGAGCGCCTGCGTGTCCCTTCACTGGGGTCGTGCTAAGAACGTGTGGTAGTTGGACAGCGGCTGAAATGCAGCTGGCAGGCTGCCTGGAGGACAGGAGACTGCTGAATTGAAAGCTTAGGTGGTTCCTCAGCCCCTGCCATGGTGTAGCCTTGGATGAACCTCATGGATCTTGGCTGTTCAGCTGGAAATTGCTGTCTGCTGGGCCTGGTGCCATCACTGCAGTCGTCAGGGTGAGATCTAGACCACGTTCTGCCTCATTTTGGTATTAGTTGCCTGCGATCTCTCTTTCGTTCATGTTTGAAATATCCTTGAGTGTATTGGTTTGCAGCACCGTGAGTAGTACTGCGGGCTCTGGCCTTTGGGAAAAGGAAATATGAAACACAGGGAGGGTCGGGTTGGACATTAGGAAAAAGATTTTCCCTAGAAGGACAGTTATTTAGAGAGGCTCCAGAATCTCTCCCTGGAGTTTTGCAAGACGTGGTTTGACAGAGCCATGGTCTGGTGTTGGCAGTAGTCCTGCATTGGTGGGAGGGTTGGGCTGGGGACCTTCGAGGCTTCCTTCCAGCTCATGCTTTCGCGATTCTGCCAGCTGCTTTTCTTCCTCAGATCAGAGGCTTCCTGTCCTTTCCCATCCTACGCGTGGTCACGCTCGAGGGAGAGAAGGTGGCCGGTTCTTGAATGCGCCTTTCCTTACAGAAGCCAGTTGGGAGGGTGGCCGGGAGCCAGAGGCATGTGGGCAGCCTCCCCGGGACTGGGCAGACGGGTTCCTCCTGCATTCCACTCAGCCTCATCACAGCAGCCTCTGCCCGTGCTTGCCCCGGGGGCTCCGTTGGTCTGTCCCTGTAGCTGCAGGTGTCTGTTGCCAACCACTGCCGGTGGTGATGGTGGTGGAGTTCCTAGAAAGAGCAGCTCTTTGAAAATGAAAATCGCCAGTGTTAACTTGTACGTAAAGCAGTGCCTGTCTCCTCCTGGCAGAACAATGTCCTGAATGCCATCCTGCTTCTCATGAAGGAACTGGACGCGGAGGGTCTGGAGATTGTCCAGCAGACGGTGGGGAGGAGGCTCCAGGCCTTTCGGAAGAAGGAGCTGCAGGAGGAGTGAGCTTTACAAACCTCCCTGGAGCACCAGCCAGCCCCGCAGCACCGTTCTGCCCACACGTGCCTGGCTGCAGCCAAAGCCTCCGTGTTTCCTGCTGTGCTTTCCCCGCGGAGGGGCTGGGACAGGCTGCTGCTGGCTGCTCCCCCCACCCCGTAGTAGCTCCTGACGCATCACGCTGGGGCTGACCTAGCCCTCGGGAGCTTTCCTGCTTGCCTAGCAGGCTCCCTTCATGTTTGTTTCTCCTGTCGCTGGGGCTGTTTGATGGGAGCTGCAGGCAAATTGGCAGAGCGAAAGGGAGCGGGGCTGTGGTGCTGTGCAATCGAAGGGGGAAGGCAAAGCCTGCTGACGGCCACAAAGGTCACTACTGCTTGTCGGTGTCTCCCTGTCAGACTAACCCTCAGCCAGCCTCTGTCCGTGCGTAGCAGGCTCCGAAGGGCAGTTTCTGCCACAGAGATTTGTTGTTGTGAAGTCTGTCGGGGAGACGCTCCCTGAAACGATCGCCAGGAACTGTCTGGCACAGATTGTGAAGGTCAATGTTGAATTCTTCCCTTATCTTCAACTCCCAACTTCTGATCCTGCTGTTAGCGCATGCAGCAGCTGACTTGGTGGTCGGGCAGCCCAAACTAAAGCTAGGTGCAGCCTGGGTGAAACAGAGATTATTATCTCCCAGATCCTGAACGCTGAGCTGTACCCTCACCCTGACATGCCCCTGCAGGCGTTAGAGCAGCTTAAGGAAACAGAGAGTAAAAAGTCCCTGTGCATTCTGCAGTTAGGAGAAAACAAGCCAAGCATTACTGTCTGGTCTGCCCAGGCATCAGGGGTGGCATTTCTTTTTCACTGAAAAAAGCTGCATTTACTAAGATTTTATAGAGCCATTAAATACAAACTAAAACGTTGCGACATACCAAATAAAACCAGTTATCCCTCTAGGACGTGTAAGTTGTAGCTGGGGTTCTGCAAACGTAGTGAGAACAGCTGACCCTGGGCATCGCTCTATTACGTCTGGTTCAGGGCTTGCATTGTGAGCCCTGCGGAGCAGGGGGAGGGCTGTGGGCCCCTGCACCTTCCCGCTTCACTGGACCCGTGAAATGGCTCGCCGGCGCTGGCTGCCATTGCACCGAGCTGCTTTTCAAAGGCACTGTGCTATTCGGCCACCACCTCTGCAGCCCCCCAAGCCCACACCGAGCGCGGGAAGGGAAAGAGAGGGCGAGCAAAGCTGGCTTGCTCACGCAGAACTGCGCAGCCTGCCTGGGCAGGAGGATGGTGACACCGGTCACCAGCCCTCCGTGCCCCTCGGCTGCGGCGTGGCCTTTCCCTGTCCCTGCTCTCCCTCTTGAAGGTGTCCGAGCCCCTGCGTGCTGGGTGGGAGCGTGCCGCAGCCCCTCTGCCTGTTTACTTAATGGGAGGGGGCACAGCTTGACCCTCATGAGTTGGGTGAAGATTGCTGACGCTTTTAACTCCTCAGGTGACCTAGTTCTTGCCTTCTGCATTAAACCCAGCTGCATTTAAGTGGCCAGTGTGATTTATAATACACCAGACTTCCCTTGGCAGCCAGGGCCCCTGAGGGGCTTACCCGTCACCTTGTTGTCCTTGTGCTGAGGCTGTCTTGACAGGCTGCGTGGTGGTAGAAGTTGTGGCTGTTGGTGTTGGGGAGCGGGGGAGCTGCAATTTGGGGGTTTCAGCTTTGCTGAGAGGAGAGTGATGGAAGCGAGTACCATCATTTGTCCCTGGGGGGCCGGGTGGTGGCGAATGGAGCGGTCGCGTTGGCCTGGGGCAGCTCCGGCACAGTTCCTCCCCTCCGTGCCGGAGGAGTTGGGCTGTTAATCCCCGACGGCACGACTGTCCCCGAGCAGAGCTCGCCGCTTACGTGCCGCGCTCGTCATGCTTGGCCGGTGCTGGCGCTCCTGCTGCCGGGCGAGCTGCCCTCCGTGTCCCCAGCCACCCCTTTTGCGGGGTGACCCCCTCGGCAGCCCCAGCCCCGGGGGGAGGCTGGCTGGCCGGCCCCTTCGGCTCACCCCTCCTCACTCCGGGGATCTGGCAGCCTGCTTTTCGCTGCGAGATGCTGGCGGCTTTTTGCTCTGCCTTCTCTTTGGGGAGCAGGGGAAGCCAGGGCTGGGCTGGATGTGCTGCAGAGCCTGGGTGCACAGTCACCACCTCCCCTCCTGCTCGACTTTGGCAGAGTACAGGGTGGTGACCCACCACGGAGGGGGGTGCTGTGCCTGTCTGTCTCCCCCCCAGGAATTTGGCACTCTCAGCTTTTTTTTTTTTTTTTGGGGGGGGGGATGGGGATGGAAATGAGGTGTTAAGGCTGCGGCAACTCCACTCCCCGAGCACATCCAAACGTGCGGCTCGCCTGGGCATGGGGACACCCCCTTCTTCCCCCTTTCAACACCCTAAACCTGGCTGCTGGAGGGCTGCGGGGCCCCGCTCCAGTGCCCTGCTGAGAGCGCCAGGCTGGAAAAAAAAAAAAAAACAAAAAAAAACCAAAATGCATGCTGGAGAGGAGCTGAACACCCAGGGTCTGTCAGCACGAGGCTCCATCCCGGCTACGGTACAACCACGGGGGCTTTTCGGCGTGACCTGTGTTCACCCCGACCTGCCTCAGCGTGGGATATTGAGCCGTGAGAGGAGACATGTCCCTGTCATGGAAAACGCCAGCAGCTGCCTCATGCGCAGGCATGGATCCATCGCGGTTCGCGTTCAAACCATTCTCAAGGACTCTGGGAGGCAGGCGTGTGGGACCACCACAGTGCGGGGAGGGGGGGGTCTCGCTTGGGAGCTGGAGGGGGCTCCTCAAAGCTCACAGGCTCTGGGAGGAGCAGCCTGGGGTCCCCAGAGCAGATACTCGCCCAGGAAGAGCAGCGACGCTGCCTCCATCAGCAAGGAAAACACAATTTCTCCATGCATCCAGCTCTGGCAGGGAAGATAAAATAATTATCATCGGCTTCCAGAGCTTAAAACAAGTAACGTAGCCAGCTAGGGGAAAAGCACTGAAATCAAGGGGGACTCGTCACTTGGGGACAGCTCCCCAGGGAGGAAAAAATAACTGCGTGTTTGACCCAAAAGACTGATGTGTGCTCATGCTGGTGACGTCCCAGAGGCTGGAGCTGTCAGCCGAAAGCCCCGGGAGGAAAGCAGCCTGGGAAAAGGGGGGGGGGGGGGTGGTGTGTACACGCAGCCTCTGGCACCGGCCGAGTGCGGCCGAGCTCAGCCAAGCCCGAGCGGGAGCCGGCGCGCTTGGCAGCCGCCCTGAGAAACTGCCTTAACTAGCGCGCACATCGCCTTGATAAATCACTTCGGTTGAAGGTGGGAACCAAAACAAGGGAGAAGCGTTTTTGGTTTTTTGTTTTTTTTTTTTTTCTCTCCCGGCTTGCGAAATCTGCCCGCAGAGGGATGCTGACCTTGCGCCCGCCGCGGCCCGGCCAGGTCCCGCTTCACCCAGGCTTTGAGGACACGCGAAGCAGGGAAACATCCTGACCCGGCATTAATCCGGCTCTGGCAAACCGTCTGGCTTTTGCTCATCCCCATCCTAACCCCCGGTTCCCCCCCCCCCCCAATTCCTCTCCGCAGGGACTCGGCGCGCAATGACCACTCTCCGGCGAGGCAGGTTTGGCTCCAGCGGGTTTTATCTCTAGAGGAGGAGAGCAGCGCTGCGAATGGTACAAGATTTGGGGGGGGGGGGTGTCACAGAGCAGCGGTGAGGTGACAGGCACGGCACCCGGGGCCGCGTGGGGGACGGTCGCGGCCAAGCGTCATGCAAGGGAGCCGGGGAAGAGGGGCTCGTGCTCTGCGCTGAGCCCTCGAGACGCCCCACTGGGCAAACCCCACGGGAGGATGGAGTGTTACTGGGACTACTGGAGCAGCCAAAAGCCACCCCCGCCCGGGACCAGCCCCTACCCCCTCTGGAACAGCACCACGTCCTCCTCAACTCCCCTCCCACACACGGGGCAGGCGACTAAAAGCAGCAGTTGGCTCAGGCGGTCAAGCCGCTTAATAAGGAATCAAGATACCCCATCATTAAATAATAGGAATAAACTCTTAAGGGACGATTAAGGGTCTGGGCTGCCCAACTGGACTCTAGCAACACCTCTTTTCTGCATCTGCACAGGGATCAGACCCTGGACCAGCAATTTGGGGCAGGATTGTACCGTTTGGGGGAGCCGAGACCAGGCTCTGCCTGCTTTAAGGGGTCAATGGCAAAGCTACAGGGCTGCTGAGAACAGGGGGGGACCCGGTGCTCCCCGAGCAGCACGTGGGGGTGGAGAGGATGCGGAGGGGGGCTACGGCTCAGGCTGGTGGTGGGACTAGAAGCCCTTCTCGATGCTGAGCGTGCGGCGGGTGACGTGCTCCATCTTCCCCGAGATATACTCGGTCAGGCTGATCTGGTAGTTGGCGAGCATCTTCAGCATCAGCCGCAGGTTCAGCCACCACTGCTCCTGGGGCAGCCTGTGCCTGTGAGGGGAGGGGGACACATACACACACACATGTGGCTCTCAAACGACCCCAGGGATGACCCGGGAAGGTCCCCCCCGGGACGTGGTGGACTGCTGGGGCAGGGCGGGGATGGGAACTTACTCGAAATCAGTGACTTTCTTAAGCTCCGTCACGGGGCTGAAGGCCACCACCTTCTTCCTGAGCCCGATCACGCAGGCAGAGTCACCCGAATCAGCAAACACGCGCCCTGGGAGGGGGACACAGCAGACCATGGCCACTTCGCCGGGGACCGAGTGGCCCAGCCCAGAGGAGCAGGGGCTGCCCAGTGCCACCAGCCTCCTCCCACCCCACCACGGGACCCCCAGCCCCTTGCTCACCCTTGCAGTAGACCTCCTCCAGCTTCTCCGACATCCACAGCACCGCCTTCACTCCCAGCTTGGTCCCGTAGTTGCGGTCAAAGGGGGTCGGGGCTCCTCCCTGGGGCCAAAGAAATGGGGATGTTGAGCCCACCCGGCTCTTGCGGACAGCGGTGGCCCCTGTGGCCCTGTCCCCCCCCGTACCTGCTGGAGGTGGCCCAGCACGTTAATCCTGCAGTCGAAGATGCCTTTGCCCTCGGAGGAGTAGAGATTGTAGAGGAACTCGGTGGTGTAGTGCTCGTGGCACTTCTCATTGCTGGGGGAGCAGAGGGAAGAAGTGTGGGGAGCTGCTCCTTAATCTGGCATCCCCCCCAGGGGGTTCCTCCATGCTCCCCTAACCACCTTTTTTTTTTTTTTTTTTTTCCTGTTTTGTTCTCCCTGAAGCCCAGAGCCTCAGCCCATCTCCCCAGCAGGGCTTTGGGGCAGGAGTGGGGATGGCAGCAGAGGTATCCAGCGCAGGACTGTCCCCCCGCCCGAGCGTCCATCCCCAGGCAGGACGCCGTGCCCCCACTGTCCCAAACCCTGCTGCACCCCACAAACCTCTCCAGCTCCAGCCTCACTCCCTGCCACGGGGGGGGCTGGGTTTTTCAGCGAGTGTCCCCGGGGGCCCCCAACTCACCGCAGCACCAGCCCTCTCTGGATATCCGTCTTCATTTTATCGGTCAAGTGCTCCACGTTGGCCTGCAAGATGAACGCCAGGATGCTGGCAGCCATCCTGGGTCCCTCTTGTCCTCTCGGTTGGACCCAAGCGCCACTAATGTCAACACAGCGGCTTCACGGGCCTTGGCCACGTTCCTCCAAATCCTGCCCGGCCCCGCAGCCCTCCCCTTTCCCAGTTCCACCGTCTTGTTTTACCCCAGAAGGCAGCTCCTGCCCCGTTCACCTTCAGGTCGTGGATGGTGAAGGGATCTTCATAGACGTAGGCAGCGTCGGCACCCACCGCGATGCCGGTGACGGTCGACAGGTACCCGCAGTAGCCCCCCATCGTCTCCACGATGAAGACACGGCGCTTGGTGCCCGAGGCCGACTGCTTGATGCGGTCACAACTCTGTGCAGGGAGAAGGGCGGATGACACCAGGAAAACCCATCTTCAGGGATGGGACTCTGGTTCATTCCCACGCGTCACCCCAAGACGGGGTGGGACCCTCATGACGAGCGGGACGGCCTCGTGAGCGGCCCCCTGCCCTGTCCCTCACCTCCATGGCCGCGTTGACGGCCGTGTCTGAGCCCAGGCTGAAGTCGGTCCCGGGGACGTTGTTGCTGATGGTGGCGGGGATGACGCACATGATGATGCAGAGCTCCTCGTACTGCCCACGGGCCTCCACCAGCTGCAGCACCCCCTCGTACGCCTGCAAAAGCAGCCGGGAGCTGGGGAGATGCCGGCCCCGCACCCCAAAAGGAACGGCCTGGGGTGCCTGCACCACCTGGGATGCCAACAGCCCGCCCTGGCCGCCCCCGAAACAGGGCTGAGGGTTCCCCCCGCACCTCAAACCCCCCAATGACCAGCAGCCCCTGGATGTTGAATTTCCGCACGTTCTCCACGATCTTTTCCATGCAGGTCTTGGGCAGCGTCCTGCAGTGGGGAAAAGGGAGAAGAGACCACGGGGTGAGAGGACAGGAGGTCCCTGCAATACCCAGGGACAGCAGAATCCCTTCTGCTACGTCCCTTGGCCCCCCCCCGGGGCGGGGGGAGGTCTGTGCTTACCGCTTGGTGCCCAGCATGGACCCTCCGCGTCCCAGCCAGCCCGCCACGTCGTGCCAGCCCACCTCACGGATCTGCAAGCAGCAGCGCTCAGTTTTGGGAGCACCCCCCCCCCACCTCCACTTCCCTCCAAGCCCAAACCCGTCCCCCGCCCTGGGAAACCCAAGCTCCCTCACGTTCTCCTCACCTGCCCCTTGGACAAGCCCTCGAAGCCGTCGCTCACCGCGTAGACGGTGTGTCCCCGGCAGATGCCGATCCGCACTGCCGACCTGACGGCAGCGTTCATGCCCGCGGCGGGGGCACCCACGTTCAGGATGGCCAGGCTGAAGGGGCTCTGCAGGGGACAGGGATGGGGACAGCACATCGGTGCGTGTCCCCAGGGCGGGGATGGTGGGGGGTGGGGTGTGTGTGTGTGTGTGTCCCCGCCGTCACTCCCCATCCCTCCTCACCTTCTCCTGCGCCGGCTTCTGGTGCGCCAGCAGCTTGTAGATGTTCCAGTTGTTCTCAAAGCTCCTGCAAGGACAAGGCGGTGTGGCCTGGAGGCACCCTAGGGTGTAGGGGCGGGGGGGGGCACCCTCCCCGGCTGCACTAGCTGCTGGTTTTCCCCCCGGGGAGAAGCCGCCATCCCAGCCCCCGCTCCTCACCTCCCACGGAGCTGGATGGCCTCCTCAAACCTCTTCTCATCCATGGCCTTCTGCACATCCTTCGTCTTGAGGGGTGGGGGAAGAGACGCGGCGCTGTCACACCCCACCACGCCTGCGGGGAGGGGAGTGGGACACCCCCCCGTCCCGTCCCCCCCCCCCCCAAAAACACACCCCGTGGGCCCGGCGTGCTTGATACTCACCACCTGGACGCACTCCATGAGCGGCAGCCGCACCGACTGGTTCCCCGAGAGGCTCACCACGCAGGCCGGGGTGTCCGGCGTGGCCTCCAGCAGCGCCATCACCGCCTCCATCCCCATCTTGCTGCTCTGCAACGAGCAAGGGACGCCCGCCGCCCCGTGACACCGGGGCCACCCCGTGCCAGCTGGGGTGGGTGCCCCCACCCCTGGAGGTTGGCGCACAGGGATGCTCCCACGGGCTCGGAAAACACGCCGCTGCTCGCACGCCTGATTTACAGCCAGCGAGCCGCTCGTTTTATTGAAAAACCCAGGAAATTTGCAGCGAATGAGGGGAAACGAGCGCATCGCTCTGCCTGGCGCAGCGGGGACTCTCTGAGCCTCATCCCAGCTGGTGAGTCCTTTGTAACGGGGAGAGGGAAGGCAGGAGCGGGGTTCCCCAGCTGCCTCCTGCTCCTTTCTGCAGGGCGACCCCCCCCCCCCCCCATGCCAAAACCTACCAGCACGCGGTCAAAAGCCGACGGGGTCCCTCCACGCTGCACGTGGCCGAGGACAGTGACCCGCGTGTCGAAGCCCAAGCGCTGCACCACCAGCTGTGGAGCAGAGAAGCCCCGGAGGGGGGTCACACCGGGGACCTCCCGGTCACCGCGGGCACCGGGGCGGGCGCTGGGGGGGCGCTTACATCCTTCACGTAGTTGGAGGAGATGGGTTTGCCGCTGCGGTCGATGGCACCCTCGGCGATGATGATGATGTTGAGCCGCGACCCTCTGCTGCGCGTCTGGTGCAAAAGGGAAGAAACCAGCCGCCGCGGCTTAGCCAAAACTCACCGGCAGGTGAGTCTGAGCATCCTTTGTCCCTCAGCGGTCAGAGCCCCGGGGAGGGTAGCGGGGGGGTGGTTCAGGTTCTGGGCAGTTGAGCCCCCGAGCCAGCACTGCCCCTGGCACGCGAGGGCTGGATTTGCGCTCGGCTGAGTGCCCCGTTTCACAGGGACAAAGGCGGGAGCTCCCGAAGCTTCGCAGGGGCCGGGCACCGGCTGCGGGGCCGAGCGCGGGTCCCCGCGGGGACTTTCCGGGGAGAAAGGGGGGATGAGGCTGTAGAATAGAAACGAAACACACCCCCCACCCCCCCCACCCCGCCCCGGCCCCTTCCTCACCTCCCCGAGCCGCTCGCACATGAGGTCCTCCCAGCCGTCCTCCGGAGGGGATTCGGGGATGAAGAGCCAGTCGGCGCCCGAGGCCAAGCCGGACACCAGCGCCAGGTACCTGTGGGGACACAGTGGTGGCAGCACCGGCCCCGGCCCCGAGACGTGGCATCCCATCCCCACCCGTGGGGGCTTACCCGCAGTGGCGGCCCATCACCTCCAGCACGAACGTCCGCTGGTGGCTGCAAGGGCGGGAGGCAAAAGCGGGTGGGTGCGTGTGCTCGGGGGCGGCCAAGCAGCCGGCCCCCAGCCCGCTCACCTCTGCGCCGTGGTGGTGATGGCGTCGATCACCTCCATGATGCGGTGCAGCGCCGAGTCGGTGCCGATGGTCATGTCAGTGCCGCAGAAATCGTTGTCGATGGAGCCCACCAGCCCCACGATGTTCAGGCGGCAGTTCTCCCGCGCCACCTCCTCGCTGATCTGCCCTGCAGAGGCGGGGAGGAGAGGGGGAAGGATGGCTGCGCCACCGGTTATTTTTGGGGTGCTCCCATTCCCCCCCCCAGCATCAGGCTGGATCCTGCAGAGGAGAGGAGGAGCCCAAGCCCTCCCTGGGTGGGTCACGGGGGTGAACCTCTAGGACCTCACCACCCCTGGAACGCTTTCACTCGACCCACCCTGGGGTTTGGGGAGTGGGGGTTCACGCACCGTCTTGGACCAGCTCCTCCAGCAGCCCACCCCACTCGGAGCGGAAGATGTCGGCGCCCGTCAGGCTGCCGTCCCCGCCGATGACGCAGAGGTTGGTGATGCCGTGCTCCACCAGATTCCGGGCGGCCCGCAGCCGGCCCGCGCGGGTGGTGAAGGCTTTGCAGCGGGCGCTGCCGATCACCGTCCCCCCCTGGGGAGGAAAACGGGTGGGGGGACACAGACAAACACACGCACACACATGGGGCACGCAGCTCGTCACGCACATTTGGGGGGGAGGGCGTTTGGGGATTTGGGGGGGCCCCCCGCGGCCCCACCAGTGACCCTCACCAGCTGGATGATGTTGGAGACGCTGAGCCAGTTGGCTTGCTTGATGTTGTCTCCCCCCTCCACCAGGCCCTCGTAGCCCTGCGGAGAAACGGGGGGCGGAGGTGAGGGGTATCCCAGCGTGGGGGGGGTGGGGGGGGGGTTCCCCCCACCCATGATGGGGAGCGGCGGGGGTACCCCAACCTCGTAGATGAGGAAGACCTTGGCTCCCACGTAGATGCCCATACGGGTGACGGCGCGGACGGCAGCATTCATCCCTGGAAAAGGCGAGACGTGAGCTGGGGAGGCCCCGAGGGGACCCCGCGCCCCACAGGGGACCAGATCCTATAGGTGACCCTGAAGTGTCCCTTCGCGTGGTGGGGGGGGGGGGGGGGGGGGAGGGGGCACCCACGCGGGCTGAGAGCGGGGATATGCTGTGCACGGGTGGAAGCTGCAGATGAGCAACTGCCCAAAAGCGAGACGTGTTAGAAATAGCTGCTTATCCCCGGGTGGGGCGGGGGGGGTGAGGGTGCATCGTGGGGGTTCCCCCGTGGGGCCCGTGACCTTTCACGGAGGGTGCTCCGGGGGCGGATGGGGCTGGGGAAGCGCCGCAGGTGGAACGCACCGAGGGGGGGGGGGGGGGGGGGCGGAACGTGGGTCGCGTCCCCGCTGCGCGCCCCGAGGCCCCGCGGACTCTGGCCCCGCCGCGCCCACGGGGCCGGGCGGACACGGACACGGACACGGACACGGACACGCAGACCCCCCCCCCACGGGACGGGAGCGGGGACCGAGCTTCCCCCCGCCGCCTCCTCCCGCCGGGCCCCACCTTGCGCGTCGCCGCCGCTGGTGAGGACGGCGATGGCCATGCCGGCCCCCGCCATCCGCAGCCGCTCCAGCTCCGCCGCCGCCATCGCTGCGCTCCCGGCACCGGCGCCGCCGGACACGCCCCCTCCCGCGGAGGACACGCCCCCTCCCGCAGAAGACACGCCCCCTCCCGCGGAGGACACGCCCCCTCCCGCGGAGGACACGCCCCCTCCCGCAGAAGACACGCCCCCTCCCGCGGAGGACACGCCCCCTCCCGCGGAGGACACGCCCCCTCCCGCGGAGGACACGCCCCGCCGCAGGACACGCCCCCGCGCGCGGAGGACACACCGCCCCCGTGCGCGGAGGACACGCCCCCCAGCCCGCCTGGCCACGCCCCTCCCGCAGCCGTGGCGCGCCATGGAGTGCCACGCCGTGCTATATGCTGCCAGGCCGTGTGCCATACCCTGCCATGCCGTGCCATACGCTGCCACACCCTGCCATACTGTGCCATACCATGGCATATCCTGCCATACTGTGCCATAGCGTGCCATACTGTGTGCCATACTGTGCCATACCCTGCCATACCATGCCATACAGTGCCATAATGTGTGCCATACAATGCCATACCATGGCATATCCTGCCATACTGTGCCATAGCGTGCCACACTGTGTGCCATACCGTGCCATACCATGCCATACAGTGCCATACTGTGTGCCATACAATGCCATACCATGGCATATCCTGCCATACTGTGCCATACTGTGTGCCATACAATGCCATACCATGCCACACCGTGCCATAGCGTGCCATACTGTGTGCCATACAATGCCATACCATGCCATACCGTGCCATACTGTGTGCCATACCATACCATACCCTGCCATACGCTGCTATACTGTGCCATACTATGCCATAGTGTGCCATACTGTGTGCCATACCATGCCGTACCCTGCCATACTGTGCTGTACCCTGCCACACCGTGCCAAAGCATGCCATACGCTGCCACACCGTGCTGTACCCTGCCGTACCCTGCCATACTGTGCCATACCATGCCATACGGTGCCGTGGCAGGCGGTGCAGTGCCGGTGCATGCCGCTCCGGGCTGTGCCACGCAGTGCCAGCAGGGCGAGCTGGGTATTGTAATCTAAATTCTGTATTTTTTAAATGTTAAGCTATTGTTATTGCAGGTGTAATTTAAAAACAAGCATAAGGAGTGAGTGCAGCCTGCGAGGTGGCTGCCTTCCAGCCCTCCCTTCTCCTCTTGGAGCCGTCCCCCACCGCTGTGTCCCTGCTGGCCTCCTGCATCGCCCGGGGGGGGGGGAGCGGGGATGGGGCCGCTGCCCAGCCAACGGATGGGGAAACTGAGGCAGGCACTGGCCGCTTGCTCCCCCGCCGGCTGGAGCGGTGCCATGTGCTCCTGCAGGCCTCGGGGGGAGCGTGGAGCCTCGTCCTGCCTCACCATCACCGAGCACTGCGATGCCTGGCCCCCCCCCCCCCCCCCCCCCGGCATATCTGGCAGGGAAGGGGTGTGGGTGGCTTGGGTTAAGGAAATGGGAGAGACTTGGCTGGGCTCCCACTTTCCTCCTCCCACAGCCCCACCTCTCCGGGTTTGCCTTAACTCCCCGCCAGACCAGCTGTGGGGCCACCATTCCTGTCCCCATCCCTGTCCCCACCATGCTCCGGTTGCTGCTGCTCTGCGGGGCCCTGGGCTGCGGGGCAGAGCGGGCGGGTAAGGCAAGGACACGGGGGCTTGGCGCGTGGAGAGGGGGGGACACACACACACGCACACACACACACACACACGCCTGGCTGACAGGGAGGGGACGGGGCGGTGGGTGATGTCTGGCGTCTCTCGCAGCCCCGCTCGCCTTCACCATGCTGCAGCGGACCCGCGTCTCCAAAGGCAGCTCCGTCTTCTGGGGGAACGCCAGCCTGGACGGGCAGCTCAGCCATCTCCTGGAGGGGCTTAATGTCACCCAGGTGCTGCCACTGGAGCCCCCGGATGCCTGGGCCAGGCGGCAGCAGGACGTGATCACCTACCTGAACTACTTCGGCCAGCTGGTGATGTTCTTCGTCAAGGAGAGGCCCATCAACTGTGAGTGGTACCCCAGGGGGGGCACAGGGACACACGGCTTGGTGGGGGGGGTGGGGAAGGGGACACCCCCCCTCCCCTCCCCGCGCTGCCTGGGCAAGGGGATGGCTCTCAGGGGACTGCTGGGCAAAGGGACGGGGACGCGGCCACCCGCAAAAACCGTGCTCTGGGCAAAAGGAGCCCTTCTGCAGAGCTGGGAATTCCTTACCTGGAGCCCACGCTGGGAGCAGGGCGATGCTCAACCTCCTGGCAAAGCCTCTGCAGGAGGTGCGGGATGCTGAAGGCGATGGTTTCATGTCCCCCACGTTACCTCTGATGTTCATGCCCAGGGTGTGTTTCACCATCCTTTTATTTCATACCCCCCAAACCAGTTTTGCCCCAGCTCTGCATTTCTTTACCCAGCCCTCGGGGAGCACTTTCTCACCTCAGGGTCTCTGGCGTGAGCCTCACACCTCCTCCCCTTGCCCTGTATCCTCACGCTCCCCGTGCTGCGTCCTTCCATGAAGGCGGTGAATAGTCGCTCTGCACCCAAAAACCTCCCAGCTCTGTAAAACTGAAGCTGTGCCGTACGCAGATAAGGAAGGGGAAAATAAGCACGGCCGCCTGACTATTGGAAAAGTCGCTCCTGCAGATAAACCGAACGAAAATAATGCTGGGGGGGGGGGGGGTCGGGTGGTGCAAGGCTGAGGCCTGGCAAGCTCAGTGCATGGCTTGATGCTGTGCTGAGGGGGGAAGCGTGCTGAGCCCGACCCCCCCTCCCTCTGTCCCCACAGACACCCAGAGCCTGTGCTGCCACCTGGGCTGCCGCCTCTTCCCCAACGGCACGGCGCACAGCTTCTACGAGGTGACCCTCAACGGGACGGCTTTCCTCAGCTTCCACGTCCCCAGTGCCACCTGGCAGCGGCGCTGGCCCGGCAGGGACGCGGTGGCCGCCTTTGCTGAGAGGGAGCTGATGAAGTACTCCATGACCACCCAGGACCTCCAGCATTTCCTCAACACCACCTGCGTTGGCATCCTGCGGGCTCAGAGCGCCAGGACGGGTCCGTGACGGGGCTGGGGTGGGGGGGGTGGGGACACGCGGTGGCACGGTGGGGGTGGCCGCAGGCGTCACCTTCATCCCTCTTGCCTCTTGCAGGGAAACAGAGCAGCCGGTCGCACACCCCGCTGGTGCTGGGGCTGATCCTGGGGACCTTTGCCTTGCTGGGCATGGCCGTGGGGATCTTCTTGTGCACGGGAGGGAGCTGCTAACGGAGCCCACAGCTGTCCCACGTCACCCCACGGGAGGCAGGGGATGGACCCATCGTCACCCTGAGGAGGCAGGGACTGAGCCCGTGCCCTGCAAAGGAGACAGCTCCCCAGCACTGCAGGCTTTGCTCCCAAAGGATGCCGGTGGCTTCCCTGCTCAGTCCCAGCTGGGTTGAACCCCCCCTCCAGCAGCAGCACCCCACATCGGTCTGACACAGTGCACTGAGACTTTATGCAGAAATACACTTGGCAGATACGGGAAAAAACGGGGAGGAGAGGCCTGGGGCGGGGGGGGGGGAGGGGGGTGGAAAGTGGCAGGAGAAACAACCAAGGAAGAGTTAAAAGCATGGCATTGAAACTCTCATTTATCCCAGTTCCAGTGGGGATAACGCAGGGAAGGAAGAATGTCACACCTTGGTGGCACTGCTTTGAGATGTCCTGTAATAAAACCACCCATCAGCTCTCACAGCGCATGTGGTTGCTCTCATTTGCCCCCGCAGCAGCGCCGAGGTGGAGGGGCTGCAGATCCATCACGGGGGGGGTGGGGGGCAGGCAGGGGGGCAGCCCCGCGTTTGCAAGGCCTCTGAAGAGATGTTGGGGGGGGGGTTGTGCCTCCTGAGCTCGTTGCCATCTGCCCGCAGCTTTGGCTCGACTCAGTGAAGCCGTTTTTCCAGGGGCCAACTGGCAACGCTTCATTTATTTTTCATTTCCTCATCTTTGCACGGGACGCCGAGGTTGAGCACAGACAGCTATAACGGGACGGTTTTTCCGAGCGGATGAACGTGTTCACTGCTCTCCCCTAAGGACGCTGCCCAGAGGGACGCGGGAGCGTGGGGACGCCGGGCGAGGGGCAGGGCAGGCATGGGGCGATGCGCTGGGGACCCCCAGGAGAGAAACTGCTCCCCAAGGATCAGCTAGAGAAACGTGGAGTTGTGTTACTCGTACTGTCCAACAGCGTTCATGGCTTTATTTTCCTTTTCCACAAGCTAGAGCTGAGCTAAAGTACGCTCTTTGACTGCTTGGACTTCAGTTATAGTAATAATGAGTTCTTTTCCTTTCACCCATAACACGGTACCCCTCTTGTCTCTGCTTTCCTGAGGGCAGGAAGGGCTGGGGGTTAGCCAGGAGCTGGCTTGGGCCACCGAAAGAGTGGACAGCACAGGAGCAAGGAGCTTTCCTGGATTAACTTCCAGCTCATTCCTTTCTAAATACCCTTTCCTGCAGCTCAAAGCAAGCAAGAAAGGGTGGGCAGGGGGGGAAGACGGGGAAAAAAGATGTAGGACAGAAAGGGGATGGGAAGACGAGACGGCGGTTGTCCTTAAGGAGGGATGGAGGAGGAGGAGGTCTCTGAAGACCACATCTCATCACCCTGGCTGCCAGCCCCCCCCCCCCCCCGCCCCGAGCAGCCCCCGCCTTCACCAGGCTCTGGGGGCAGGGACTGGGATGCTCCCCACCCTTCAGCGGGCTCCTTTGCAAAAGGGAAAGGGCAGCCAAGAGGCCAGAGGATCCAAACCGGCGAGGCCGAGGCATGCGAACGTCATCGCTCAGCTTCTAAAGGCATGCCCTTGGCGGGAGCTCTGCGGCAGGCCGAGCGCTGCGTGTCCCTGCCACAGGCACTGGGGGACGCGAGGCTGATGCTGACCCCAAGAAGTGGAAACTGAATACGTGTGGTGACAATTCCTTACTGGGGGTGACCGTATTTTGCTGAGTGAGGACGAGGCAAGATGGTATTGGGGACCGGGGGTTTCTCTAACCACCAATGACAGTAGAAAACCCTGGTCCCTGACCCAGGCAGTAGCATATTGGGCTGGAGGATTAGACCCTATGGAAAGGGGAGAGCCCTTCTCAGTAACGACTCCGACAGCAGGGCATATTCTAGAGAGCACACAAAGAGCTGCACGTCTCCAGCTAATGCATGACCGGTTATTAATTCTGCGCCAGCCCTCTGCTATACAAGATGTGGCAGATCCCAATGGATCGCTTCCTCTCCTAAGGGGCCTGCCTCGTGCCTTGAAATTATAGGCAGTGGGATTACAAGATCGTTTGAGAACAGCCTGACCCCAGAGAAGGGGGAAGCCCTCCCAGAGATGACGTGGGGAGAAGTAGCAGAGGAGTTGATTAATTACAGGGGACGGATGGGATTCACCGGTTAGGGAGAGCTAAAATCCAAAGCAGACTTTAGGAAGGTGGAAGGAAATGGGGGGATAAAAGCTAAGCCTTTGCACAGTTCCCGACCCCCCCCAGTGAAGCTGACGTGACCTCCTCATAGCGAAAGGGATGGTCAGAGAGAATTTCAAAGGGGATTCCCCGGGAGGTGGTGGATGGTTTACCCACCCCCAACCTGGAAAGTTTGGCAAAAGGCTGGGTCAAAATAAAGGGGACCCCACCTCACTCAAACCCCAAAGATCTTTCTCTCCCATCCTGGGAACTCAGAACTACAACCCTGTCAGCTTCCCGGGAGACTGAGTTGATTGATTCAAGCATTCCTGGGTTGGGAAACTGGACGCGCCGTCCTCAGCAAGTGAGCTGGGGGATGGCCGGTGGCTCCACTTCAGGAGGTTCATGGAAAATAGTAAGGGAGACTTGCTGATCACCTTTCCCCTTGGCCCCCTTAAAACCCCAGTTACATTTCTGGTTGACGGGGGGTGCCCAGATCTCAGCGCTCCGAGCCGATATCGCTGATCGCAATGGCATTCTCCCCGATAACAAACAGATATGGGTTGCAGATGTTTTCGGATGCTCTAAGCCACGGCTGACTGCTCGGGTGAAATGCTGGTTACCCGGGACTGAAACTGCAACAGAGGTTACAACGATCTTGGAAAATTTCCCCCCACACATATCCCAGGAGTTGATCTATCGAAGGGATGAGCTTGGGTGGATCCGAGAGGAAGGGAATGGAAATTTGGGTTCCCAGCTGCCTCTATAAGACTTCAACAGCAAGCACCTGCATTTCATCCTTCTAAAATTGTTAACGTGAAACCCTGTGCCTTACGGTAAAGGGGACAGGGAGGGGATCACGCTGGTAATAGTGGAGCTGTGAGAACAAGGGATAATTATCCCAACTCAGTCACCCTGTAACTCCCTGGTGTGACCAGTCTGTAAACCTAATGGGAAGTGGCGATTAACAATTGATTATCGGTGATTAAATTCCAATACAGATCCTCTAACAGCTGCAGTACCTAACATAGCCGAGCTGAATGCAACCATACAGGAGCAAGCCCATCAGATTTTAGCAACTATTGATGTAAAAGACATGTTTTTCATGGTTCCCTTGCAGGAAGCAGGCAGAGATCGTTTTGCTTTTACCCGGGAAGGGGTGCAGTATGCTTTTACCCACCTCCCTCAGGGATAATGCCATTCACCAACCGTCACCAGCTACGCACAGGTCCAGGAGCTCACCCGTGTTGCCCCAGAGGAGGGAGTTAAGGTATACCAGTATACTGATGATGTATTAATTGGCGGCCCCGATACCAAAGTAATGGGATAGACCTAAATGAAGCTAATCACTCATGTGGCGAGCTTAGGATTCCAAATTCCAGCAGAAAAGGTACAGCTCCTGCCTTCAGAAATAAAGTTTCTGGGTATTTGGTGTCAGGGAGGAAGAGTGTGTACTCCCCCTGAAAGTTTAATTACCCTCAAAGCGGTAAAGATGCCTGGAAATAAGAAGGAACTGCAACATGCCCTAGGCTCGCTGGCATTTTGGAGGAAACATGTTCCCGAATTTTCACCCCTTGTATGATTTGACACGCAAAAGGACTATTTGGGACTGGACTCCTGTCCAGGGAGAGGCCTTAACGATGTTAATCTTTGAGGCTGGGGTGTACCAGGCCCGAGGGCTGGTACACCTGACAGATCCACTCCATATTGAGCGGGGTTTTGCAACATACATATATGGCAACACGAGCCAGAGGGTCTGACTCGTCCCATTGGGTTTTATTTTCAAAGTCGTAAAGATGCAGAAAAACGTTATTCAATTTGGGAGAAGGGTCTTTTTGTGGTTAGCCTGGCCTTACAGGAAGCTGAGAAAATCATAAAGCAACGACCAGTTATTTTGAGAGGCTCTTTCAAGGTCCTGAAACCAGTATTAGATGGAACCCCAACCCCACAGGGGCGGCACAGCGAGACACGGTCAGGAGGGGAGATGCACAACTGGATCTCTGGTGTCACACGCGCAAGATAGAAGAAGGAGCTCCCAAAGTATGTCGGATACAGGAGCCACCTGATAACCAACCTGATCAGGAAACCCCTCCTTCCCTTATACAGCCAGCTCCTCCATTCAAACCTCACCCGAGGAATGTGTGGTTTACTGACACCTCCCCAAAAAGAGAAGGCAGGGTATGGAAATACCGTTGATTCAGGGGAGCAGCTTGTAACAGAAAGGGAGGGAAGCGCTCAAGCAGGGGAAGTGATTGCAGTTTGGAGTGTGATAGAAGCTAAGAACAAAGAGCCAGTGTTTATTTATACAGATTCCCATGCTGTATTTAAAGGGTGTACGGAGTGGCTCCCTTTCTGGGAACAGAATCAGTGGGAAGTCAACCGGGTACCTGCGTGGCAAAAAGAAAGTGGGAGAAAATCTTAAATGTTGCTAAACAGGGAACTTTCCCGGTGGGATGGGTAGCTGCACACCAAAAGGGGAAGCACCCCGCCCACATTTGGAATGATCAAGTAGATTCGTTAACCTGCTTAGCTACAATGGCAGCAGAAGCTGAAGGAGAAGAGTGGGAACATCTGTTAGAGTGGTTACACGTGAAACGTGGTCACGCAGGGGCCAAAGATCTTTTCAAAGAAGCCAGTGGCAGGGGCTGGCCAGTTACTTGAAAACTGCGCAACACGATTATTTCTGCTTGTGGTCAGTGTTGCACCCCATTAGAAAGGCAGCCCTTGCAAGAACCCCCTCTCTGCCTGTGGGGTGGGAAGGGCCTCTGGGAGACTTGGCAAATTGATTATATCGGACCCTTTAAAAAATCGAATGGGAAGCGATACGTTCTCATGGGAGTGGATTTAGTATCAGGGCTCACCCAGGCTGAGGCTGTCGCGTGGGCAGCTGGAGAAAATACGGTAAAAGGGTTGAAACTATGGTTCAGTCCCTGAGCAAAACCTCAGTCGATTCAATCAGACAACGGCAACCACTCTACTGCCGAGGTGGTGCAGGAATGGGCAAAAGGAGAGGGAATACAGTGGGTGTTGTTTCACGCTTCCTACTACCCACGAGCTGGTGGGATAGTAGAGAGAACAAACGGGTTACTGAAATGAGCTCTTAAACCTCATGATGCAGGATGGGCTTCCCACCTCCCTGATGCACTCGCCAAAGTGAACGGTTGCTGGGGGACAAACGGGTGCCCCAAACTCACTGTGTTTTGCCCCAGGCCTCCCTCTCTTCTTTCTGGAAAAAAAAAGACCAAAAAGACTCTTCAAACGCATATTCAGGACATCTTTCAGTGGACTTCCCAAGAGTGGGGGAGGTAC